TCTTGAAGCTATATTAGCCATCATAATAGGAATGACAGAATGTGACTTTTGTATTCACTAAATTGTCACCCTTTAGTTGTAAAAAACAATAATCCCTTTTTAACCTTCTGAACTGTTGTTTGGAGAAACAGCAAAACCAGGACTTGAAAAACTCGGTTCATGTAAAAGGAGAAGAAAAGGCAACTGAGCTGTGAGATTCTGCATTTTGTTGGGATAACATTTTATGGCAGTTAAGACTTTGTTATAAGCTTCTGCAGACACAAATTTTGAAGGCAACTAGGACCTCTAGCATAAGCTTAAAGTAGGAGACTGAACTTTCTTTTCACTCTTGGCTTATTATCTAACAATGGAGGGAACTTAAATGAGAATCTAAATTGCCGCTCAGGTATTTCATGGGCCACTGTCTGTTACTACACTAGAGATACGACATTTGCTATGTATGATATTTGAAGGTTACTTTTTAAGTTCCTGACACGTACAATACCTTGTCGATCAACATATGCCTTGCTATTGTATTTTGTTTATTTACTTACAAAATCAACTGGAATGGGGGCAGTTCCACAAAAGAATTTCTGAAAATGATGTTTTTTTGGCATTAGAAATTCAATCTTTTAACGTTTGCTTCTAGAGATTCTTATCAAGTTGTGACATAAGATCTTGTAATTTTTATTATGTCGTGCGATTTTTCAACGCTTGTTGTCTTTAGGTTCTATGAAGTAATCATGATAGATAAGCATCAGATTCTACAGCTTCTGGACAACCTACGTAGAATGAACATGTTAGTAGCACAGACAATTGAAGTTGTATTGATTGAAGTTATACCCTTCAATGTAGGTAACTGTTAAATGATGAAAATAAATTAGAGATACTGTATTCTCTTAAAAATCAGGCGGTGCTATGGAAAAACTTGTTGAATCACATTATGGCTTCCTCATTGAATCATAAATTGTACATAATCAGTGATGAGATGCCTTTCAATACTGAATTGTCACTTTGCAGTTTGCTCTTTAGCATATTATCCTACTATCCTCTTTCTATTGTTAAATTTCTCAAAGTTCAGTTTGCTGCATTTTAGTTATTAATTCATTTTATCAACTCTTTGTAGTTGGGGTTACACATTTCAATCTCAGGCCTCCCATCCCTGAACACTGTGATCCTGAATTGAGAAAGTTGATGGAAGAATGCTGGTCCCCAGATCCAGCTGCAAGGCCATCGTTCACCCAAGCAAGGGAGAGGCTGCAGGCTATGTTAATGGCACTGCAGCTAGAGATACAAAACTGAGCTATAGAAGATGTGATCCTACAATCTGATGTAGGTCATTAAAAGAGAAAAAGACTTTTTCAGAATAAGATACAAACACATGCATGTGTGTAAGAGGGATTTTGCAGAGCTTCCATTCTCAAATGTATTTGTAAATTAGGCCCAGGCTATCTTCTTGTATTAAGGAAAGAACCAGTTACCGTAGTGAGTTATTTGTAATTGGTGGCTGCCTGTAAGTTCATGTAGTACGGAAGTCGTAGAAGTGAGTGATCCAATGTAGGCTATGCCTGCGTTTGCAACCAAACAATAGTAGTCATTCTCATGTATTATTCGCATACAGCATTTAGAATAGAGTTTTGGTATCTGGACTGTGAATCAAGGTGGTTTGTTGAGTGTGCAACGGTCTGATCTAGTTACAAGACATGATAAATGTCGTTTTGGTCCTCCAAAGTAGGTTATGGTCTCGTTTAAGTCCTTCAAACCAGGAAATTTGTTTCAATTACAGCCTTGGGTCATTCGATTTACGGATAACCCTAGTCATATTCGAAGGATTTGAGTCTGATAAATGTGTTTTTGGCCTAACGGTGTTAAATAGGAGGCATAATTGGAACACACTTCTTACTTTCAAAGGCTAAATTGACCGTCTCATTTTTCAAGGATGACCTTTTCATCTTAACAATTGGTACTGTTAATTCTTTCAAGTTGATCAAAACTACTTTGGACCAATTCTAGAGTCTATGAGAATTGAAGCCGAGCTTACGGAAGTGTCAAGTATTTTGTGCTGGTATGGATGAAAGTTTGCAACAAACCCTTAGAAACCTAATCCAGATGCCAATAGGCTCTCTTCCAGTGAAGTATCTTGGCTTACCACTTATCTTATGAATCTAGACTAAACTACAAGGACTGCTTGCCTCTTTTCAACAATTTGCAGCAAAACAATATCAAGTTGGGCTAATAAGAAGCTAAGCTATGGAGGGAGGCTCTAGTTCATAAAATCTGTACTTACTGGAGTACAGTTATACTGGGCTAGTGCTTTTATTTTACCAAAGGGGATGATAAAAAAATAAAATAAAAAGTCTCATGTCTTCTTTCCTTTGGGCTGGGAAGATAGATTAAGAGGCATTGTGGAGCAAAAGTGTGCTGGGGAGATATAAGCAAATCCACAAAGGAAGGCGGGTTGGGACTACATGATCTAATCCTATGGAACTCAAGCAGCTCTGGAACATTTGCTCCAAGAAGGACAATATGCAGGTAAAATGGGTACACATCACCACCTTAAGAAGACGTCATTCTGGGGTGCCAAAATACTATTTGACTGTTCTTGGGCCTGGAGGAAAATCCATAACTAAGGCCTAAAGCCCAACTTCATATCAAGCAAGTGATAGGTAATGGTTGTGAAACTTTTTCTGGTACGATCACTGGCATCCTGTAGGGCCGTTATACCAGAGCCTCTACTGTCAGGATGTAGCTTAACTAAGAATGATCTTGTTCCTAATTGTATGCGAGGTGCTAAATGGAGATGGCCATGTGGGAGGAAATTTAATGCTGAGGTACGAAGATTGAAGTACTTTACTCCCTGTGAGCTTGTCCCTGTACCAAATGAGGAGGATACTACTGTTTAGAAAAGGTCAAGAGGAGGATACTACAATACAATTTGGCTTCCAAGTAGGTCTAGCACATTGGATGTGCAGTCTGCTTTGAAGGTCACTTCACAAGAAGCATCCTGGCATAAACTTGGATGGGATAAGGGGTCCATTCCAAGATTCTCATTTATCCTTTGGTTGTTATGCGAGAGCAGACTATATACCAAGGATAGAATGAGAAAGTGAGGAAGATTAAGTAGTAACTTTGAATGTGTGTTGTGCACTGACGTGAAGGAATCGATGAATCATACCTTCTTTAAATGTCCTTTTTCAGCTGCCATTTAGCAAAAAATTCTAAAAATGGTTTCAGTTTTCAGATATCCTTTGCCATTTGGTCAATGGAATTTTCTTGGGTTTGTGGGCATTGGATGTCTACATCCTTTAGTGATAAATTTCGAAGGCTTGCTCTAATTATCTCTATGTACTTCATCTGGAAAGCCGGTGCTATTCCAAATTAAAAATATATCTGTTATGGCAATAGCAGGTCAGATTATCGATGTCATCCGGTATATTTGAGCCTCATAGAGAGATGTGCCAAAGATTCAGGAGACTTGTTTGCTGATTGTTGAGTGGGGTATTTCCCAAAAGTGTTTTGATAGAGTTTGATAGATGAATAGAAATTTGGATTGTAAAAAGTTGTAGAGAATTAGTGATGTACAGTTAGCATGTATATGCTACTTTGAATATGTTTCAATTCTCTATCAAAAAAATTTTGCAATTTTATTTGAAAAAAAAGAATAACCTATTGAATTTCATAGAAAAAGCAAGCTCCCATTGTATACTTATATTAATATAACTAGTGATTGAGACACACCCTAATTGGTGTACAATTAATAGAAGTTACCTATATGAAATTTTGTCTTTATAAAGTCTTTATTTTCGGTCACAGTCAAAGCTATTAATATTTGAAATATTGGTATCAAACCATAGCTATGTCCATAAAGGAATTAGTGGACCAAAAGTTTGGGAAAATAATTAAGCTAAGAATTCCTGGAGGCCAATACTCAACCTATTATGACTTCACCCTAGAGTGCTCAATTGAAATGGTCAACCCCACCTTCTACCCACTTTAAAATTAATTTGATGCTGCCACATCCACAAGTCAAAGAATCTTTGGTGTTGGAGTAGTGGTCCGTGACTATGACGGCTCTTTTATTGCTTGCCTTGCAAAGAAATTCGTTGGTACTGTGAGTGTAGAAATAGCGGAAGCCCATGCTGCTAGAGAAGCGGTCTATCTGGCAAAAAATCTAATGATTCTAAGCTTTATTTTAGAGGGCGATGCAGCTTCAATTATTAGGCTCATCCTTGATAAGGAAGACATCCTATCTGACTTAGGCTCGATTATTGAGGATATTGCATTTAGCTTTACTAGATCAACATTGTATTGATGTCAAATGGATATCAAGGGAGGCAAATAAGGTTACGCATACCTTAACCAATCAAGCTAAGAATGCTAGCCTTTCTAAATCTCTTTGGAATGTTCCTCCAATTTTTGTCAAGCAAATCATGATGGACGATTTCCAACAACCTCAGTAATAAAATTTTTCTGTTTGTTTTCTTATAGTAAAAAAAAAAAAAACTCTAGCGGCAACAGAGTTCATAGCGGAAGGAAATAAAAAAAAAATTTACAGCAATTCATAATTAAAAGACCAGAAATCTCCATCTATTCCTAGTACATATTGAACCATCTTCTGAAACTGCTGAGAAACTTGAATTCATCTATCCTTGGTTTCTTAGATTTTCCTAGTTTTGTTTTATTTATTTTGTGAGTAAGGTTGCATTGAAATGATTTTGAAACAGAACAAGAATGTTAAAGGATAGGTGGACATTTATATCTTGATCCTTTGGTGCTATTCAAATCAAAGTTTGATGAAATTGGTATGCATGAAACTGTGATGAACATTCTATAACCTCACAGGCTCGGTATCTTGAATGCGAATCATGGTACAGTAAATAACGTGATTGTCTTGATCAGGCTTTGATCAACATGTTTCTTCTAATTACTCAACAATATAAAGGTCACCACTAAAAGTAAAAGCATGATTGGGGAACCTAAGCAATTTTCTTTCATCAGAAAAACAAACTAAGCATGTTTCCTTAGCCCAAATACAATCAATCAGCAAATTTATACGTTGTCCACAAACATTATTATAACCAACAACATCAATGTCGCAAATGAGGCAATTAGAAACAATCTTATCAAGAAAAAAAGGATAAAAATTGAGTTGCCCCAACTCAAAGCAAAGCCCCTGGAAGAGCACCAAAAATCCTTCAAAGAGTACAAAACAAACAGAGAAAACCGGTACGCAAATAATAGCAAACAACAAATCTTCAAGTCTTTGTATTATTAATATAGAATGACCTGCAACATATGACAACCAGTGTAATCTTGTCAATGTTGTGAATCTGTCACAGAAACACATCTAATAATTATGCTAATTAGGGAAAAAAAAAAACACCATGGAACTTGAGATTTTTCTCATTGGAAATGTATTTTACCTTTAAAAATATATTTTTGCAGACAGTTAGAAAACCTCTCTTAATTACCTGTAATGACTTCGTGGCCAGCAGTTTTTCCCAGATTAAGCGTGTCCTGCTACCATAATTACAGAAGCCACACTTGCGGCAGTATTCAACACATTTGCCCCAATTGATGCACTGTTCAACCAGAACTCTCGTTTATCTTTCTGGAAAGTCAGACAGAAGTAAGTAATCAATCAAGTTATACTAATACCACAGCCAACTTAGAAACTAGATGATCATTGATGATTTCATCAGCCAACTTCCTAAATAGATACATTAATTTGTAGTTTCCTCGCCTTTTGCTGTTCAAGCAGTTCATTGGTGGCACGAATCCCTTCTACGGTGCGGGCTATTTCTGACTCCAGTTGGGCCAATTGTTCGGTATCTTGATTCCAGTTTGCTTGTTTGACAGCAGCATCTAAAAAGACAAAGTTATACACGAAATTTCAATGTAAATTGGGGCATATCTACGGTGATGTATGATTATGACGTAGTTTACTAGTAATAATACGTACCTTTGAGCTGGTTCTTGAATTCAATGATGTATTTGTGGGTCTTCATAGCTACGAGTACTCCGTTTTTCTTTAACTCATCCACAGCTGCTTCCTCGAATTTTGCTCGAATTGCATGCCTCATATGTTCCACCACAGAAAGGTAGGTTGGCTTAACAACCTAAAGCATTTTGAACTCTTTAAGCAATGAATATACAAATTTAGCTGAGAACAAATAATGCATAGTTGAATTTTCAATCGATGAATAATAGTTGTAAATCAAATTTAACTTCACCAATATATCATTGTAACAATTCCTAGGGTACCTTCATGATGTTTTCAATTAGCTGCTTCCTGCTTGCGTCCCTTTTGGTCTCATCATAGTGTTGAGCTTCCTCATCATACCTGGATAAAAGCTTTGAACAATCATCAATAACCTCTTGATAGATTTAACTATCCAAATTATCAAAAAATATGAGCACACAATCAGCAATGCAAAGGATTTTTTTTTTTGGGTACGAGTTTCTTTGTGGAATTTATAATCACACCATGCACATAGAATAATAGTTTGGATTACATTTTCTAGAGAGTGTTCTGGGAAAAAGTTACTATAGTACCTTTTAGACTATGATATATTTAAGATAAAACGGTAACTGAGAAATGTGCAAAATAAATATAGCATCAGACTAAGGAATTTTACATAGTACTACCATAAAGAGTATCAATTCTAAAAACTCGAGAATCCTAAGGATATTGCAAGGCACACTTACTCAGACAGATTAATGGCAATTATTGGACTGACTTTAGCGCCAAAGCCTTGTACTGCACCTGAGATTGCATCCTTCTCAATTTGAAGCCAGGACTGGGAACCATTTTCAATGAAATTACAATAATTAATTATTATGGTCACGCACATATACATATGTCCTGTGAAATCCAAATCAAAAGCAAGAAATGTGTGCTTGTTACCCTATTCTCGTAAAAATTCTGATACTTCTCTTCAGCAATTTTGTTACAGCGTATTTCAGCAACCATGATCTACCAATTAATTGAAAACAGAATATTAATTAACATTGCAAGGAAACTGAAAACAGTATACAAGACCACTACTACAGTGACTTTTAATTAATCAATTAATTAATGTTTTTACTCGGTAATGAGGTAAGTCAAGGTCCTTGTCCTCCTTAATTTTGTCCCAGATTTTCTTTGCATAATCAGCAAAACCCGAGGCTGGCGTACTCCCTGCAGCACCTTCACCAGATGTAGAAATGGAGATAATCCGCTCTCTCAGACCAGCAACCTTCTCAATGGAATATCAAATTTTATTGGAAAAAAAAAAAGACGAAAGGGTTAACCATGACCAAAAATCGCCAAATAATAATAATAACATAAAAAAAGCAGACCACACACATCGATAGACAAGTGTGTGAGGTACAGTAAACACCATATTCGTACTCTAAGAGAGAATGGAATATTGGAAGTATAAGTACCTCATTTTCAAACTGTTCTGGCTTGTCTTCAAAATTCGATAGTGCTACCACTTTAATCTGAGCAATCACAAGCCGATAAATCAAACAAGATATACCAACTAAGATTTTGATTTAAGTTCTCAAATTTTGATTTTGTTTTATTCAGTCGTTTATTTTCGGATTTTGTTTTAATTATATCACTTTGGAGCTCATGTCATGTTGTAGATCGACTCAAGATTTGGAGGATAAAGTATACCAGGAAAAAACTAGGCAAGTTTCATGCTCTAGGTTTATTTAATTTCTGCTTCTGTTTCTTTCTTGTTTTCGTCCTTTAGTTTACACAAATTAAAGAATAGAATTCAGATCCAAATTAAAAGAGGGGAAAAAGATGTGCAATGGTTCGCCATATCGTCCGATTTCGAGATGATTCTGACGATATGTAATCGGAACGGTGCTTGCCGGTACGAGATCGATGGCCAAATCAATGAATGACCTGTCTCCGAGTTGACTCCAGCTGACTCAGCTCGGCTGATATTAGCCGAGTCAATTCAACGAGACAAGAAATCAGCCAAAATTGGGCGATTCATGATGATCCGACAAGCGATATAGAAGTTCATGGAACGTTTTGATATTTGAGTATATTGATGTTTGGGGCTTTCTCTGAAGCTTTTTTCATTTTCTAGTTAAGATATGAGTTTTTTTTCATGAATTTTGATGATAAAATCATCTTTTTCAAACAAAAGAATCATAAGGTTTTTGGCCAAAATTTTGCTTCAGTAGAACTGTAGAAGGCAGAGCCGAAGTTCGCTAAAGAAGACGATGAGCAATCTCTAGGTTTAAATTTTAGACAATTAAGGCAAAGATTTCACACTATTTACCAAAATATCACCTATATTCTCTACTATATGTTGGTTTAACCGTGGCGCCTATGCAACTACTTCTTATCTTTTTCAAAATAAAATAAATTTATAAAAAGGCCAAAATCCTTTTATGTCTTAGTATGATTAAAAAAAAACCATTTTCACTAAATAAATATTCTTCATTTTTCACTAAATAAATTAAAATTAAAATATTTTATGGTAAACTTCATAAGTATTAGCTATCGCAATATACATATTAAAATTAAAATATTAAAATGAAATACTTTATGTAATCGCAATAAATTAAAATTAATGAACCATGTACAATTTTTTATGAAATTCTCTATTTTTTAGTAATTTTTTTTAAAATTTTTTGAAAATTTTTACATGTTATAATATACATATCATCCGATATTCAACCGATATACTGTAACGGATGTGAAACAATTGCGACCATGATCCGCAATCGCGAATCATGTGTGCAAAGATTATTAGAAGTCGCAGGTCTTACATTGAAGAAATCTTCTAGTGAAGCATTCAGCTGTGCTTCGGGCTTCTTCATTCCTCCCATATCTACAATATTATATAAAACATCAGTAGCACGATATCATGAGAATTTATAACAATTACAGATGATTTTTACCTTGTACATTCCTTCTTTCAGCTGTTCTTCCAACTTATCCAGAGGGCACTAGATTCAAAACAATTCATCAGATGAATTGTTGTGATTAAGCACTAGTTAATTAATCAACGGAATATCAAGAAAATAGAAAAGAAAAGGAAATAATAATCTATACCTTGTTTTTGTCACGGAGAACAAACACTAGATTCACCTTTCGTCGAGTACAAAATTTTCTAATCATTACCTGAGGAGCACAGTGTTATAGAGATAATACTATATACCACAAACACCAACAAATTATTGAGCCGTGAAAGTTGCTTACCTCAAATATAGTTCGTAAGAGTGGCCGATTCCCTCCATTATTAAGGTTAACAGTATAACACTTCCTGTTTGATTAATAAAAAGTTGGCTTAATATGTTGTATGAAGTACCTCCTTCGATGAGTAGATTTTAAGGAGAATATATATACATAAAAATTAACAACTTCAGCTACATTTAATGAAATTGAATTACCAATTTAAAAGTTTGAACATTTATGGTACCTTGAGTTAATTAATCGTAAGAAAATAGCGGACAATTGCTAATGAAATTACTGAATAACATGTCCATAATTTTGCGTACTGAAAATGTTAAAATGTAGAGTTGACTTCGTTAAAAAAGAAAAAAAAAATAGAGACAACCGTGGTTGGCAAGGAGGCGATATTATATAAGGGTAAATTACATACAACCTCCAATGGTTTCGTCTATTGCCACATGATCCACTTAATGTTTCAAATATCCACTTTATGCCCTTATGATTTTATTTAAAGTGGAAACTTTATGAAAAATAGCCTATGTAACATCTTTAATTGAAATACCATTAGTGCCCTTACTTAAACATTAAATCGGTTGATAGCTTAACTACCTTATATAAAAGTAATGCAAAAATTACAAGGGGACAAAGTGGATATTTATACAAACCATAAGGGATTTACATGGAGATTAAAATTTTATCACATGTACTTTTAGAGCGCGTTTGGTATAAATGCCGTAATTAATTGTGCATTCCATCCATTTTTTCACTTTATATAAACCATAGGGGATTACGTGGCTATGTTGAAAACTTAGAAAGGATATCTGACATTATGTAAAATTGCAGGGTGTTATAAGTAATTTACCCTATTTATAAGGGTAAAATTGTCCTCCTATTCTGGATAACCAACGGAAAGTATGTGACTCGACGCACTTATGGGTATAAAGTATATATCAGTCCATACTAACTAGGGGTGCAAACGAATCGAGCCGCTCCCGAGCGGCTCGATTCAAGCTCGAGTTCAAAACATTAAGCTCGTTAGCTCACGAGCTCGAGTATATATATATATATATATATATTTTTTTTTATTTTTATTTTAATAGTAAAATTACATAAATATCCTTAATATTTTATTATTTATTAAGAAAAAATATTATATTATTTATTTTTTTAAAAATAAAATAATTATTTTTATTTTTTTCGAGCTCGAGCTCGAACTCAAGCTCAAACTCGGCTCGAATCGAGTCGAGCTCGAGCTCGAGCTTGAAAATTGCCAGCTCGTCGAGCTCGAGCTCGAGTTCGAGTTCGAGTTCGATGAAATTAAGTCAAGACTCGGCTCGATAAGGCCAAAACTCGACTCGGCTCGGCTCGTTTGCAGCCCAACCAAATACCAAATTGGTTTATAATGGGTTAATCATATTTTATCCCCTTAAAGAATATCCTATTTCTCAGTTTACCCCCTAACCTTTAATTTTGCTCACTTAACTCCCTTTAGGACAAAATTGCCCTTGCACTATTTTGACTTTTCATTTACCTTGTTTTCCTTTCTTTTATTTCTTTTTCTCTTTCTTCTTTTTAAAATATCTTAAGATTGAATTAAATAAAGAAGAAAGAGAAAAAGAAATAAAAGAAAGGAAAACAAGGTAAATAAAAAGTCAAAATAATGCAAGGGCAATTTTGTCCTAAAGGGGATTAAGTGAGCAAAATTAAAGGTTTGGGGGTAAACTGAAAAATGTGGTATTCTTTAAGGGGATAAATGGAGAAGTGATAGATGAATTTTTTAAACTATTCCCTCTTGGATGCTTACCTCTTAAGAATTTCAATAATCCTACTTGATTAACTTTAACTTTTAAAGCTGTTTATCTTTTCTCGAATTTAGGGAAAGGAAAAGACAAGACCGTTTGACATTGTGCTGCTTAAATTTAAAACCAAGCTTACATGTTGATTATGACTGTGTTTGAAACAGCCAAGCAAAATAGCGCAGTTTGTTTCTCAAACTTCGTATCATCCTGGAAAAAGACACAGGAAAACTGAATCAGAAAGTGAAGGCAATCAAATCTGGACAATTTAACCAGCAAAGTGGAGCACTCTTTACACTAATTAAGGTACGGTTTCCTAAGACATGTAAACTCTGTCATTTGAAGACAATAAATTTGAAAACTACCTCTCGCTCTGAGCCATCACTTCCTTCCGTATCAACAGCGAGGATTTCAGGGCCACCATTTGGATTTGGTAATGGGCATTTTGCCACCCAAATACCTTTTGTCGTTTGATGCCTAATGAGGTAATTAAAAGTAACCCAGAACAAAAAGAACACACAAGAAGTTAAAAGGGAAGGGGAGGGAGAGAGAGAGATATTGTACATGGATTATATAATTAAGCATGAAATTTGTCATTGTTATTAAAAATCGAATAAGGTCTTCATACATTCCCTGGCTGGCATCCATCACTTTGAATTTAGTGGAGTGCAGAGAATTCATAAGTGTGCTCTTTCCTGCATAAATCAAAACTTGCTGGTAATTGGTCCCAAATCACAGATTTTGACTTGGATGGAAATTTGTAATAACAACTTGAGATGCACCCAACTAAAATATGTATTACCGGTACTTTGCACGCCGAAGACGGAGACAACAGCAACGGGACGGCTCACGGCAGCCAGTTTCAGATCATCTACAAATTTTGAGTTGAAATTTCCATCTCCATCTATGAGCAGAGTTGGATGGTTGCCCTCAACTTGTTGTGCTGAAGAAAATATTCACCTTTTAGCTAGTTATGCAAAATAAGCTGATAAAGGAAGCATAAATATATGAAAGAATCACCATCCTGTGAATCAAGAACTTACCCATGTAGACAAGATGAGAGGATGGAATTTGTGGAAGGAGGTAGAAGTCGTGCGAGATGATATCAAGAAAGGTTTATGACGGAGAATGGGTTGATGCAATCCGTGGTTTTCCAAAAGTGTGGAAAGTTTTGGGTGATTTCTCAAGACCTTTATATCAAAAAATGTAACTCGTTAGGTTAGACTAATCCGGAGTGGAAACTTTTAAAAAGCGTCTTTTGTGTCTTTTCGTGTTCCTGTGTTGGTTTCCATCTGTCACTTACCGTTAAATTATATAGAAATGATTGTATGACATAAACTAAGATTAATGCACTGCATTGACTCATTGGCCATGCCCTTCATTTGTTTGGACAACAATTTATTTTGCCAAATATATTTGCTTACATCATTATTACAATTTCCAATACACCTTTTTACCTTTTCAATTACCTTTTTATCTCACATACATCACATCACAAAAAGTGCTACAGTAAAAATATCTCAAATAATTTACAATTCAAACAGAGCCTACCTTCATCGTGTCTGTTTGATCAAATGTTAGCCTATTTTCAGAGGGGAAAAAAACTTGGCCATCTTTTACACCCTAAAATTATTCAGGCAGTTTTTATTTTGACAACATAAATTTTCTAATTTAATCATTGAAAAGATCTATCGATTATTTTTCCAATAAAATTAGTAGTATTTCTCCAATGAAAGGAAAAGGAAGAAGAAGCTCTTATGGCTAAGGACTCAATGTGTATTGACTGACTCCACGATGACTATTTTTCTTTGTTTCAGTGCAAGACTTCCATTTACCTTCGTCCATGTTTCTTTCCCATTTCTCAAATGTTGAGAGATGGTATTAAGATGGCTTGACGATGGAGAAAAAATGCCTATACTCAATGGTTTCCAAACTTTTGAAAGTTATGGATTATTTCACAAGACTTTACATAAAAATAATTTACAGCATATTAGATGAATATACAAAGACATTTTTATAGATATCCAAGTATCAAGACTTTACTTCAAAATAATTAATGTACAGCATAATAGGTGCATCTGCAAGAAATACAGTATATGGTGTGATTTTGACTGCTATGATTATAAAAGTCGATACTATTTGCTTACCTAACAAATTGCCCGGAACAATTATTGGAACAAATATTGCTGATTTTGTGTCTTTTGCGCGTTTCCTCATAATAGCCACATCAAGAGATAATAAGCTTCGTGATGTTGATAGGGTTTCCAATACTCAACATTTAATTTTATTGCTACCACCATATACATATGTGTTAAACAAAGTTGGTCCCTGCTATATATAGGGATAATTTTACAAACCTCCCCAGAAATTTCTTATAATGTCACTTAGTTCCCTTGAAATTTTTAAAATCTCACTTGCCTCTTTTGGTTTGATATTTCTTGTAACATTATAATCCCTTTGGAAGAAAAACACAAGAAAGATGAAACTTTTGTTCCAATACTACCCTTATATTATCCTACTTATCAAAATTCATAACAACAATAAAAAATAAAATAAGGTTAAATTTTTATAACATGTAAATATCTTGAAAAATTCACACATATGAATAGATTATTTTAGTTTTCAATACAACTTAAACAATACCATGAATTAAAACATATTTTTCCAAAAAATATTTTGATTTCCTTAATTGTAACTTAACTGTGCACGAAATTTTTTAAGGTATTAATTACTCACCAAAATCCTCCTAAGTGGTTGACCTTGATTGGATTTAATTTATCCACGTCCTTTGCTATCTCACCACGATCCCAATGTAAAGAAATATGGACCATTATTAGATAATAATTTATTTTTTTAATTTACATTTTTTGGTTTTAAAATTTTATTTTGTTTTGACTTTTTGGTTAAATAGTTATTAAGAGAAAGGGTAATATTGTCAATTTGTGGCATTTAATAAGAATATTTAGTCTTGTCAAGTTGACAAGGGAGTTAAGCGAGATTTTAAAAACTTCAGGGGAGCTAAGTGATATTATGACAAATCTCAAGGGAGGCTTCTGAAATTATCCCATATATATATATATATATATATATATATATATATATATATATATATGAATTAGACACCTTTGAATTAACTTTTTTTCTTCAAAAAATTTATTTATTTTTTATTGTGCTAATCATTTAATTTTTAAAAAATTAAACATATAATTTGAAGATCCATAGTCAATTGCCCGCCCAGGAAAACAATCCCGGTTCCGTCACTAACTTCCTCTAAGAACGATGGAATAATGCATAGAAAAGGAGGTATCAAAATGAGGAGACTTCTTCTGATGGGGATGATTCTTTAAAGTATTTGAAAATTTTTTTTTTACTTAATATCTTAATTGGTACATGTTCCTGTGAGATAAAAAAGATGACTAGAAAATGTATTTCAATTTTCTAAAAGAAAACATTTCTGAAAAAAACGTCGAAACAAACAAGCTGTTTGCATACAAGAATTCCACCATCCTCTCTCCATTTTCGTTTGGCATTTCGCAGATGTGCATTGCAGCGAAGCTTCAAGTCAATTACCATTAAGGCGGACATTAGCCACCTCAGCTCTCAAAGGTCTTTTCTTCTCCCTGGCCACACCTACACACATACAACATCATCCTTACAAGAATTATTCAGCCCATTCAATTGTTGTACATCAACATATTTCTATAATAAACCATTGCTTTTTTTCACACACAAAAAAAAAAAGCATGTTAGGCAAGAGATGACTTTCAAGTATTTAGCATATTTTATCACGTTATTGGATGCCCATTGTCTGCATATACCCTGACAAAAGGGTTACGAATACGAATTTGGGTCCTTGGGCAATCAATTGAGTCCTCAGCCATCAGTGCTTTTTCTCCCTTTTCTTTCATTGGAGCAATGCTACTTTTATTGGGGAAAAAAGTAGATCTTTCAACGATTACATTTGAAACTTTATGTTAAACAAATAGTGGAAGCCTTGAAATGCCTCAAAAAATCAGTCAAAATTAACCGTGTCTCCACATTGTCAATGAAATTTCAGACTTTTTTTTTTCATACGTGCACCTAAACTTATAACGTTGCATTTTTTGTTGATATAGAAGCCGTGTGAAATCACCCAAAAATTTCCACACTTTTGGAAACCACGGATTATATGAAACCCATTCTCCATCATAAACCCTTCTTCGTATCATCTCTCACCATTTCTACTTCCTTCAACAAATTTGATGTATGGCTAAAAAGTATGGCTATTGCTAATTAACTTATTCCTACATGCATGGTCTATAAAATGATGAAGTTGCACAAAAGTTAACTATCCAATGCCATATATCATAAACTATAAGTTGATGAATCAATGAAGAGCGTTACAATGATAGCAGGACACGCTTCTGCAATTATGGTAGCAGGACACGCTTAATCTGGGAAAAACTGCTGGCCACGAAATCATTACATGTAATTAAGAGATATTTTCTAACTATCTGCAAAAATATATTTTTAAAGGTAATATACATTTCCAATGAGAAAAATCTCAAGTTCTATGGCGTTTTTTTGTAATTAGCATAATTATCAGATGCGTTTCTGTGACAGATTCACAGCATTGACAAGATTATACTGGTTGTCATATGTTGCAGGTCATTCTATATTAAGAATACAAAGACTTGAAGATTTGTTGTTTGCTATTATTTGCGTACCGGTTTTCACTGTTTGTTTTGTCCACTTTGAAGGATTTTTTGGTGCTCTTCCAGGGGCTTTGCTTTGAGTTGGGGCAACTCAATTTTTATCCTTCTTTTTTACAGGGCGTCAGCCTGTGCAATAATAAAAATAAAACCTAACTATCACTAAAAGCAGTTAATAATTAATCTTAGGTACTGGAGTAGGGACTCTAGATGTGCAATGGGTTACTTGATTCACCCTGTTCCCGAAAAGTTTGCTTAATCCGATATACCAGAATTAATTAATTGACAAAATTTACTAAATAGTAGACAGTGGTAAGTAGGGTTGTCTTCTCATGGACTGGGAATAATTTGTTTCTTCTAGAGTTCAGTGCATGGGGGATTTTTGGAGAATATAAAATAACTGATTAACTCACTAATAAAACAACGAATAGAAATAAATAGAAATTAATCAATAACCAATACGACTCTAGCCAAAGGTACAACTTTTCAGACACGGTCCATTCACTTGATTATCGATGCAAAGATAATCCAATTACTCATTACTAGATTGGTTATAGTTGTCACACACGCGATGAACAACCAGCCTTTCCTTAATTTCTCGATAGTTAAGGTACGACCGTTAACTATTTTCCTAACCAAGAAATAACCCTAAGTACGACCATAGGATTTAATTACCCGATTGCATTAGTAATTAGAAAAACCCAACCCTAACCAACAAACACGCTACGAGGGTTTGTTTAAGTTAGATCATACGTTTTCCTAACATGAAACCAATCACGCTAGTCGCCACTGGTATTAATCAATTGAACAATTACGAATTCAATCAATTAATTTGGCATTAGATCATTAGGTTAATTCGAATATCAGACCCTTGACATTCAAATAACATAACAGGCATAAGCAATTAAATCAGGAAACGTACAAATACCAATGAATAAAAGAAATAAATAAAATTAATTCGATCTCACAGATATTTGGAACCGTGCCTTCAAATTGGCTTTCGACTAGATGAGAAACTTAGCCACGCCTCATGAGAAAATTTCCAAAGTAATTTTACTGAGGTCCAGGCCATCAAAGGAACTAAGAAAAAAAAAACTAAACTATGCTAAAAGCTATTGATCAGCCCCCCTAGCCTCTGTAATTCTCCTTTCTAAAGCCGAAAGGAAGATGACTAATGCTTTCCTTTATCCCGTGGTCCCCGCACGAATTGAGAGTCCAATTCCATTTCACAAGCCTTTGTACGTTTCTTTTCCAAGAGCCCAAATGACTCGTACTTCTTATCTCCGTGGTCCCCCCGAGATTCCCCAATCAAAGTACAAAAGGGTAAGGCCTCTTAATGTTTCCTCTTTTCTCGTTTCTCATTGCTCCTAGGACTCCTAGGATTCAAGGCACTCCTCATCAGCAAAAGAAATGCAGTCCGTCTCTTCCTCTCCTTGTGGGCCAGGTCGATGGAGCCTTCTTGAAGTCTCTCACTTATGGAGCAAGTCCCTCCTTTTTTTGTAGTTTCTTGCTCCAATTCCTGAAATTAAGTCCAAATATCAAATATAAGTAAATATTACTAATTAAAACAATATTTGGTAAGGACAAAGGGGAAATTAATAATAAAATTACTAACAATTAACACTCTATCACTTTTCTTGATAAGATTGTTTCTTCTAAAAGCCTCATTTGCGACATTGATGTTGTTGGTTATAATAATGTTTGTGGAAAACGTATAAATTTGCAGATCGATTGTATTTGGGCTAAGGAAACATGCTTAGTTTGTTTTTCTGATGAAAAAAAATTACTTAGGTTCACCAATCATGCTTTTAGTGGTGACCTTTATATTGTCGAGTAATTAGAAGAAACATGTTGATCAAAGCCTGATCAAGACAATCACGTTATTTACTGTACCATGATTCGCATTCAAGATACCGAGCCTCTGAGGTTATAGAATGTTCATCACAGTTTCATGCATACCAATTTCATCAAACTTTGATTCGAATAGCACCAAAGGATCAAGATATTTATGTCCACCTATCCTTTAACATTCTTGTTCTGTTTCAAAATCATTTCAATACAACCTTCCTCATAAAATAAATTAAACAAAACTAGGAAAATCTAAGAAACCAAGGAGAGATGAATTCAAGTTTCTCAGCAGTTTCAGGAGATGGTTCGATGTGTACTAGGAATAGATGGAGATTTCTGGTCATTTATGAATTGCTGTAAATTTTTTTGTTTGGTTTTATTTCCTTCCACTATGAACTCTGTTGCCGCCAAAGAGTGTTAAAGTGCAATAGGGGCTCAAATATAATTCCAAAAATTTGTTTTACGGGTCTTGGTTTAAATTTTCAGACTAAATGGGTCTTGCAATATCTGCAGCCTTTTGTTTGAGAAATTTTTACAACTGCAAAATAGTCACTTTGCGTAACTAATTCTTGGCTTAATTATTTTCCCAAACATTTGGTCCACTAATTCCTTTATGGACACAGATATGGTTTGATACCAATATTTCAAATATTAATAAAGGACTGTGACCGAAGATAAAGACTTTATAAAGACATAATTTCATATATGTAACTTCTATTAATTGTACACCCATTAGGGTGTGCCTCAATCACTAGTTATATTAATAAAAGTATACAATGGGAGCTTACTTTTTCTGTGAAATTCAATAGGTTATTCATTTTTTTAAAGTAAAATTGCAAAATTTTATTGATAGAGAACTGAAACATATACAAAGTAGCATATATATGCTAACTGTACATCACTAATTTTTTACAACATTTTACAATCCAAATTTTTATTCGTCGCACTTTTGGGAAATACCCCACTCAACAATCAGCAAACGATTCTCCTGTATTTTTGGCACATCTTGTTAGGGAGAAACACCTCGAGAGAGTCCACTAAAGAGCCAAATATGTAAGTCAGGAACCCAACTCTGACCCAAAAGCTTAAGCTATTAGGTCTTGAGCCCTTACTTACATATTAACCGCTCTTTTTCCATCTCTCGGACCGATGTGAGACACAACCCCTTACTCATGAACCCAACAAATCTCCCCCTTCATGAGTAACCCCCACATTAAACCCAAATTTACAAGCTCTTGTTTTTCGGAGCCCACTTTAATACTCAACACAAGGCCACCTTATCATTTAAGGTCACCTCTTCTTCCAAACATGGACCCACTCTTCTTCAACATCCAAACTATATTTTTGGACCCCTACCAACCCTTGGCTTCTTGGTCTAACATCAACCGGAACCCCTGCCAAACCCATGGCACATCTGGTCCAACACCAATCAAACTCCTTGGCACTTCGGTCCACCATCAAGAAGAGAATTTTTTCACCGATCCAATTCTGAGAAGAATCCACTTGCCCATGAGTAACCCAGTTTTGCAACCTGAAACTCTGATACCAATTTGTTAGGGAGAAGCACCTCGAGAGAGTCCACTAACGAGCCAAATATGTAAGTCAGGAACCCAACTCTGACCCAAAAACTTAAACTATTAGGTCTTGAGCCCTTACTTACATATTAACCGCTCTTTTTCCATCTCTCGGACCGATGTGAGACACAACCCCTTACTCATGAACCCAACACATCTCTCCATGAGGCTCCAATGTATCGGATGGTATCGATAATCTAACCTACTATAGCCACAACAGATACATTCTCAATTTGGAATAGCACCGGCTTTCTAGATGAAGTACACATAGATAGTTAGAGCAAGCCTCCGAAATTTATCAATAAAGGATGTAGACATCCAATGCCCACAAACACAGGACAATTCCATTGACCAAATGGCAAAGGATATCTGAAAACTGAAACCATTTTTAGAATCTTTTGCTAAATGGCAGCTGAAAAAGGACATTTAAAGAAGGTATGATTCATCGATTCCTTCACGCCAATGCACAACACACATTCAAAGTTACTACTTAATCTTCCTCACTCTCTCATTCTATCCTTGGTATATAGTCTGCTCTTGCATAACAACCAAAGGATAAATGAGAATCTTGGAATGGACCCCCTTATCCCATACAAGTTTATGCCAGGAGGCTTCTTGTGAAGTGACCTTCAAAGCAGACTGCACATTGTATGTGCTAGACCTACTTGGGAGCCAAATTGTTGTATCCTCCTCATTTGGCATAGGGACAAGCTCACGCTCACAGGGAGTAAGCTGCTCCAATCTTTGTACCTCAGTGTTAAATTTCCTCCCACATGGCCATCTCCATTTGCATACACTTAGCAACAAGATCATTCCCAGTTAAGCCAAATCCTGACAGTAGAGGCTCAGCAAAATTCTGGTATCATGGCCCTAAAGGATGCCATTGATCATACCAGAAAAAAGTTCCATAGCCATTACGTTTCACCTGCTTGATATGAAGTTGGGCTTTAGACATCAGTTAGAGGATATTCCTCCAGGCCCAAGAACAGTCAAATGGTCTTTTGGCACCCTAGAATGAAGTCTTCTTAAGGTGGATGGTGTGTAACCATTTACCTAGGGTTGTAATCGAGTCGAGTCGAGCTCGAGTATACTTGACATACAGATAGGGTGCTCGAGCTCGAGTTCGAAGCTTGCTCGCAGTACTCGAGCTCGACTCGCATGGGCTCGAGTCCATGCGAGCCTTATCGAGCTCGGTCAAGTTCGAGTTATTAAATTTCATTTTCTTGATAATTTTTGAGCGAAAAGACATTATTACTCTTTTAAAATTTTTATATGACTTGAAACATTTCGTAATTTCAACAATTCTTTTGGGTATAAGGGTAAATTTATAATAATAATAATATATTAAATAATTAAAATTAAAATGCTCGATAAGGCTCATCGAGCCTTCGAGCATCGCTTCTGGATGCTCGAACTCGACTCAATAATCTTATCGAGCTGCTCGAACTCGACTCGAACTCGGTTTGACCGAGTTCGAGTCAAGCTCTCGCGCAGCTCGGTTCGATTACATCCCTACATTTACCCACATATTATCAGCTCGGTTCGATTACATCCCTACATTTACCCAAATATTATCCTTCTTGGAGCAAATGTTCCATAGGATTAGATCATTTAGTCCCAACCCGCCTTCCTTTGTGGGTTTACATATATCTCCCCAGAACACTTTTGCTCCATAATGCCTTTTAACCTCACCAGCCCAAAGGAAAGAAGACACGAGACTTTCGATTTTTTTTTATCACTCCCTTTGCCAAAATAAAAGCACTAGCCCAATACAACTGTACTCCAGTAAGTATAGTTTTTATGAGCTGGAGGCTCCCTCCATAGCTTAGCTTCTTATTAGCCCAACTTGATATTTTTTGCTGCAGATTGTTGAAAAGAGACAAGCAGTCCTTGTAGTTTAGTCTAGAACTCTAGATGAGATAAGTGACACTTCCATAAGCTCGGCTTCAATTCTGACAGACTCTAGAATTGGTCCAAAGTAGTTTTGATCAACTTGAAAGAATTAAAAGTACCAGCGGTTAAGATGAAAAGGTCGTCTGCAAATGCTACATGGGTTAATCCCAGCTGGCTACATCTTGGATGGTAATCATAACCTTGATGAAGAATATTGTGGGCAACTAAGTGTGAAAAAACTCCATGGCAATGAGAAAGAGATGAGGAGATATTGGATCTCCCTATCGGATCCCGCTTTTACTTTGAAAAAAACCCCACAAATGAACCATTCAAATTGACAGAAAACTGTGCAGTGCATCCAGGGGTTTTGCTTTGAGTATGGGCAACTCAATTTTTATCCTTCTTTTCTTGATAAGATTGTTTCTTCTAAAGGCCTCATTTGCGACATTGATGTTGTTGGTTATAATAATGTTTGTGGACAACTTGTAAATTTGCAGATTGATTGCAATTGGGCTAAGGAAACATGCGTTTTTCTGATGAAAGAAACCATTCTTCGGTTCACCAATCATGCTTTTGGTTGTGAGCTTGACATCGTCGAGTAATTAGAAGAAACATGTTGATCAAAGCCCGATCAAGACAAACACGTTATAAAATGTTCATCACTGTTTCATGCATTACCAATTTCATCCAACTTTGATCTGAATAGCACCAAAAGGATCAAGGTATTTATGCCAGCCGATCCTTTAATATTCTTATTCTCTATTAAGTTCATTTTAATATTACCTTCCACATAAAATAAATTAAACAAAATTTGGAAAATCTAAGAAACCAGGGAGAGATGAATTCAAGTTTCTCAGCAGTTTCACAAGATGGTTCAATGTGTACTAGGAATAGATGGAAATTTTTGGTCTTTTATGAATTGCAATAAACTTTTTGTTTTGTTTTATTTCCTTCCACTATGAACTCTGTTGCCGCAGTCAATCAGTAGCAGCTCTCCTTCCCCCGCCTTGCCATTTTCTCTTCTGCAGCTGATGACGTTAAATTCGCTGAATAATAATTGAAAAAAAGGAGAAAAAGAATTTATTTCCCGTGGATGATCGTTACTGGAGATGTCGTGTTCCTCCTCAGCCTGAGAGGAAGCAACCCAAAACAAAGCTTTGTTGGGTACTTGTCATCTGAGGCATCTATGCTGATGACTCCTCATCTGTGGAGCTCTAATGATGGGAAAGGTAGTTCAGACTGCTTGGGGAAAGATATGTCAGGCATATTCATCCTGAAACTGGTGTTGGTGGACTAACAAGTGGGACCAGCATTAGAGGTTATCCATCTCCATTGAGAGATCCTAGTTCACTAAGCCAAAGACCGGATGTTGCTTCTCATCCGAGTCCAAGAA